TGCCAAAGGGGTCGTGACCCACAGGTTGAGAACTGCTTTACTAGTGGGAGTAGAAGAGTATGGTCAATGCTAGATATGGCCAGGTGGCTGACCCTAGAAATCAGCTTAGCCCAGCCCTCTGGCATTTTTTAAGATATTCTGGGGATATGATGTCTGTACGTAGAAGTGTGTATGTGTAAATGGGTGCAGTAATTTAGAGGACTATTAAACCTGCCAGGTACCAGGTGCCCTGCCAGGTGTGGTCATCACCTCAGTAAGCACAGTATAGAAGAAAGGAATCATCTATCTCATCTCATACAAACTGTTATTGAGAAGTGATTTTGCAAATATCTTCCCCAAGGCTGACTTATGGCTACATACCTGTGCAACAGTTGCACTGGGCATGCAATACCTTGCACACTAGCAGAAAAACTAGGGCATAAGCAGATTTCTGGTCTACAAAAATCAAGGTGGTGATATCCTCCAGGCCAGCGGGGGCTGTGGCAGTGGCCAGCAGCACGGTTCTATTTCTACCATCATAAGGGCAATGGTAGTGTGGCATTGTTAGCAATGGGGTTGGAGTACTAACCCTAAAGCGGAGCCAGGTGATGTTGGGCCCAGAACACTAGGTGTTGTGGCTCTACGGCCTGTGTAGGAGAGCAGTTTTCAGGACTATGCACCACACAGGCATGTGTGAGCACTCAATGGATTATTAGAACTCCGTAGAGGTAGGTGCTCTGAACACTTGGACCTGGTATGACATTGGGACTATGAAAAAACCATGGACAAAGAATAAAACAATGTGATTAAGCTCTATGGAAAGAATGTTCAAGATAACTTTTATTTGTATATTGTTTTATTCTATTTTGCTTCCCATGTCTCATCATTCCAACCCATTTTAATCACTCTTGTCAAGATACCTTTTGAAAGCATAATTCTCTGGCCATGTCACTAATACCTCTCACTCTCACCTCCATGCCATAGAAATAAGCAACAGTGACAATCAAATCTCACATTGTCTAAACTATGTCTCTACTTTTAGCCTGCCATCCACAAGCCTCCTTAAGAGGGCAGTTCCACTGTGATTTCCTTTCAGTTTCTTCCAGTAAGAGCAAATTGCTGACCATTGTCCTGTGCCCTGTTCTCCTTCGGCCTTGGGACTATGCTGTGTTGTCTACTTTCTCCCATTTTTTGAAGCTCTAATTCAGCCAGTCCTTCAGGACCCACACCCAATGCACACCTTTTCCACACTGGCCAGCAAGACATAACCACTTCTTCCTCCATGTTTCTGTGGCTCCTTGTATTTGTTCTGACATTTTATCACTTCCCATTGTGTGTCTTATAATTTGAGTGCACAGCTAATCTCCCCTTATTAACTACAAAACCCCTACAGTCTGGGTTAGCCTTATATAACTTTGCTTTTCCCAGCAAGACCAGCCTTGTGTTAGGGGAAATATTTGTTCAAAAAGAGAATGAATAAGAGCCAGCAGTAGGAACATTTGTATTTTCCTGTTCCTCGCCATGGCCTCAGAGAGAGCTAGGTGAGGTATTCTGAGGTGAGAGAGAAGGGAGGAGTGAGTGAGCTACCACATTTATAGGTGACTAATGCTTTCCAAAGGAAATGAAAGATTTGCAGTTATTACTACTTTGCAAAGCTTTATTTTCACACTTAGGGGCCAGCCTCCAATTTTGCAATCTGAAAAATAACAAAAAGCAAGTTCCACATGTAAGGCATTCCCCACGGTCTCGGCAATTATTTTTAGGTCATTGTGATGTGATTTCTGCGGTGAAATACTTCCCTGGCTCAGAATTATTGCCATTTTTCTGACTCGTGTTTGTTTCTCACGCTCTGTCTGGCCCGGGCCCATGTTCCTGACCTCATTTCTGCTATACCGTTTCCCTATTTGACCATCCAAACAGGCACGCCTAACAGCTGACCCACAGCCACTTCCCCAAAACATCTCCATGGATATCCACAGTTTGTGGAGCTTGTTGATGACCACCTGCGGCCATGAAGGTTCATGGGCCTCTGAGCATTGCGTAAGGGAGGAGACAGCAGAGAGCAAAGAATCTGAGCTCCCTTGACCAAGGAATGGACAGAAATAGAGAAGCTTCAGTCAGTGGTGCAGCATAACATGGCCACCATACAGATGCATTTGATTTAGTCTAGGAATAAAGGGGCCTGACGGACCAAATGATGATTTACTGCTTCATTAATAAGGAGGTCCAAACCCAAATCACTGGGTGCACCCAGTCACATTTCTGCTGGTGCTTCCTCCCACTTGCTCCATTGCATCACTTTCCCATCACAAGCACAGCGCCGGACACTACATCATGAACGCTTTTAGACAGCAGGAACCATGTTAAGCTTTTTTGCATACCCACCCCTGCAGCACTTAGAAGAATATGTTTTGCACATGCAGTGAGGTGAATAAATACCTGGCCATGTGCATAGAATGGAAAGAGAACTGGACCTGCATTGAAGTCCCAGCTTTGATTATCCCTGGCCCTATGCGCTTGGGCATGTCATTGAACCCGCTGAGGCTTCAGATCTCCAACGCTAGGTGGTCTCTAACTCTCCTTATCCCACCCACCTTCTCTACTTATATTTGAAATTGATTGATATTGTCATCAACAGGCTACTACCAAGTCTCACAAACGCCACCAACTGGTCTCCTCGTGCTTTTCTCCTTAATTTTCACACTCCAGCCAAAATCAACTTTTTAATCATCTTTCTTACCTAAGCCACATCATTTTATTCCTCTGCTTAAAACATTTTCCACAGAAAATCCCTCTAGTTTAAAAGTCCAAACCCATTGATGTGAATTCATGATTTAGCTTTACCCTGTCCTGCAATTCAGCCACACCCTCAGCTCCTCCAGCCCTTCACAGATGCTGATCCTTCTGCCTAAAGGTCTTTTCTATGCCTCTTTTAACTTATTCCTACTCATTCTTTGGGCCTCAGCTTACACATTCTTTTCTTAAGAAGATAGTCCTCAGCATCCCACAATGCCCTGTGCTTACCCCTATTACAGTCTCATCATCCTGTCTTCCCACTGTGTGTGTACTTTCTTCTCTCCCAGAAAGCCCTGAGAGGAAGCATGGTATTTTGTACATTCCTGTGTCCTTGTTAACTCAGCAGAGTGAATAACTGAATGGACCTATGACGTACTCACCACTGACCCCCTCCCCCGCCAACTTGTTGTACCTCTTCTCCCCAACTGCCCAGTTCCCTGCATTGTCAGAACACATGCCCAGGCACCAACAAGCCAAGCCATCTTGACCGCTGTTTCTCATCTTTTACGACCACTGCAATTTCCCCCCAAATGCTAGTGGCCATGGTGCTCTTGCATGTTCTTGGTTTCTGGGGTCAGATTTGAGGATCAATGATCAGCTTCCAAGTTCTTAGGTAGAAAAAGTTAATAGATCAAAAGTACTATCTTATATATGAACTCCAGAAGTTGTACTTGGCAAGAAAGAGTAAATAAGATTGAAGTCCACCAAACCAAACCAAAGAAAACAGAGTATAGAAATGCATGTATATAATCAACCAGCTACTGCTCTTCTTCTTCCCAAAACATACAACAGACATATCATTATGGATACATACTCTTACCCCATCCTGGGTTCCAAGTATTCTGTCTTTAGGGGTTTATTCCTTTGAGTTAAGGCAGATTTGGCAAATACATGGCATATATCTTGTTACTCTCCATTCTCATGCTATTGGCCAATAACAATAAGTGCTAACACAATTTTCTTTTGATAGGGCCTGAGAATCCTTCCCAGCACAGGGCTCCCAACATCAATTACTAGTAGGTCCCAACTTAAGCATTATTCTCTAAAATGACCTTTGTTAAAATGCAAAGGCCCCAGGCTGGAGAACAGTGTCGATCACTGGAATCTTGGGTTAGATTGACTGAGCAAGTACTTTCTTTAAGACAGGGGAAGCAAGGACGACTTTGGGCACTCAGGGAAAGATGGTGCGTGGGTGGGAGGAGCAGGCTTCAGAAAAGGGAAAGAAAGGCAAGGAAGGAACCGTTATCTGAGTAGTTCTGGCATGAAGGTTACTTGCTCTAAGACAAAGGTTCATGAAGCCCATGGAGCAGGCACTAGGGGCCCAAGCCCCTGTGGAACATGTTCTCTTTCTGGCTTCTGTTTCTGACAGGGCACTGTATTCCATTAAACTTTCCCCAACATAGGGATTGGGGGATTGCCCAGCTTGTCAGATATGAATAGTTTATGTGAGTCTAGACTAGAGACGGAACATCATGATTAGCTTCTGATATACAGGCAGTATGCTTGGCATGCCCCTTTCAGTAAAAGCATGGAGTGGATGAGAAGACTCTAAAATGGAAAGGGGTTTCCACTCACTGGGTGGAAGACCAAGCACTTCCCCTTGATTACAGATCACTGGGCAGTATTTCTGAGAATTAGTGTTGCCAGGTGGTTGAATGATAAAATCTAGGCCAGCTGCTTAAATGAGCTTGCATGACTCCATGAGGCTGTTCTGCAAGCCCCTGGGCAATTGCCCAAATGCCCTCTAGGAGCTCTAGTGCCAGATGTTGATGCAAATAACAGGAATGATGCAGGCAACAGGAATGGAACACACCTAGCATGCTCAACTGTCACGTGCCTTTTAAGAAAGAATATATTTAGATGCCTTGGGTCATTCAGCTATTCAAACATTTAATTGCAAGTGGAACCAAAGATCAATGTTTTCTTGGGGAAAGTAACATGTGTAGTAGCTTTGCAATGACTAATTCTTCCTGAGAAGGAGAGAGGAACTCGTGACTTGCTGCATGTGTGTATGTGTGTGTGTGGTGCCAGCTGTGTATTCTTTTGCTGTGATGTGTCCATGAGTATCAAAAACCATCAAAATTCTTTTTACTTGAAGACTTAAAGATGGCTAACTCCCCCATTAACTCAATATAAAGGCAGTCTTACAGAACAGTATGCTTCTGGAATATTCCTCAGAGGTTTGAATGACAAGCTGAAGATGGTTTTCACTCTGCAATTCTTACCTGCTAATGTAAGCAAGACTTGCAGCAGCCAATAAGGTGAGTCCATTCTTCTTCAATGGATAGCAGTGTGGCCTGAGGATGACTTCAACCAGGGAAAAGGGGAGTATGAACGTGTGCTGCAGGAGGAAATATGGCAGTCATGGCAGTGCCTCAGCTTCCTAGTGTTTCAAATTCTCTCCCCACCCCCCACCCCACCCCCCTGTCTACTTTTTCCACAACTACCAGGGAAACTTTCCAAAACTGAGATCGTATTCCTCAGATTCCCAAGGACCTCCAGTGGCTCTCTCTTGCTTATCATACGCATCCAAACTCCTTTGTCTGGCTACCAAGGTTCTTTTTAATGTGCCATTGCCCAATACTTGTCCTGTTTATTGCCTGCTGCTTCCCTCTCCTAATACACACACATGCATGCATGCACACACACACACGTGTGCACACACACACACTCACTCCTCCACTGAAACAAGGCTGTTTCCTTCATTATTCTTTGTACCCAGCATGCTTGCTCCCACCTTCACACTGCCCGTTCATTCCTCAACTGTGCGAAACTTGTCTTCTCTCCCTGTACTTTATTCACATTCATCTATGTTCTCACAGCCAGTGCAATTTTCCATGATGCTGGCTCTGAATTTTCCTTTTGCTAATTGCTCTCACCCAATCTAACTGCATTTATATCCTGTGCCATGCAGTCTAGCACTTGTGATGTGTATTTGTAAGATCTTGGGGGCCAGAGAACACGTCTTAGCCCATCTCTGCATTCCCCATTGCACTTGGAGCCATGTAACCTTCCTATTGATGGGGCAGGTGTTGTGGGGAGGGGGTGTGAGACTCCCTCCAAAACCCGCTATACCCTCCCCATTCCTTCCCTGCTTAACCCTCTCCTTCATAACCATCTGTCTTCTCTCACATCTTTCAAACCCTTAACATGTTTTTAAAATAATGCAATCAAGGGAATAAGCCTTTAGTAATAGTGGTGTTTTCAGGTGGAAAGACTACAGAGGTCTGTTCCCATCTTGGTTGTGGGAACTGATCTCAGAACTAAATTTGCTCTTCTGCCATACTCTGTGCTTATTGGGAATATCTAATAGTGTTAGCATTTTGCAGTTTTTACATTTCTGTCATTCCTCTTTCATCCCTCTTACATCCATAGCCTTTTCCTGCAAACTCCATCCCAATCCCATTCCTGAGTCCCGAGGCAGCGATGTCAGCACCTTTGTTACAGTAGTCCCTGGGGCTTAGGAAGGCCACAGAGCCCGCATGACCATGCTCCATGCCCAGCTATGCTCTGGAAGCCCTTTGCTGTCCATCCCATTATGCTTGTGCTCAGAGGCAGCCCCAGGAGGCAGTAGCTTCCTCTTGCCTTATCTGACCTAACTAAGGTACAGTCAGATCAAGACCTTTAGATGACACAATTTGAGCTGGCGATAGCAACAAAGTCTAACCTATTCCAGTGCTCTCTCCTCTATGAGAAAAGCCATTATATAGACTTAGACAGTGTTAAAAAATAATAATAAATTTTAAAAAGACATTTAGATGACAGGAAACAAGACAAGTGTTGGGATGAGAAGGAACAAGTCTTAAGCATAGGGTGTTACTGGGCGGAGAGGGCCTCCTGGGGGCCCCCAGTCAAGGCTGCTGTTGGGTGGCACAGAGCAGTTAGGCCTCTTTAAGGACCTGAGAGCCAACATTTTAGTAGCAATGCCTAGAGAAACAGCCTTTGGTACAAGCCATAGCTTTTATATAATCTGTCCAAAGCTGGTCCTGAACCTCCTGACTGGTTGGATATGCAAATGGAAAGACTGCCAGGTGCATTGTCACACCTTGCCTCCTGTTTCAGTCTGATTTTAGGCTATAGCTTCTGTGTCTCTCCCTCCGGTAAAGGAACATGATATTTAAAGGCATGACTTTTGAATCTGGCCCCAGACTGGTTTCTGAACTTCCGCTTGCTCGGCTGTGAAATGGGGTAATAACTAATGCACACGTGTTAGGGGTGCTGCTCTGAGGACTGAGATACGTGCATGGAAAGGACTGGCCCCTTGGCCCAGGAGACTTGTAGTGAACATTAGCTGTGATTACCCTTACTGTGATTTCGTTCTTCTCTCACTGCTGACCCAATGTGGAGAGGGAGAGGCAAAGTTCTGGGATGCCCACAGCACCCGGTGCCCGGATGCACCCTGACCCATAGGAGGAGGCTGTGGTAGCAGAGCTATCCCCACAGTCACTCCATGACTCCCTCCTCAGCCCCCAGCTGATGCCTGTGCTCCAAGCCTCAGAGCCCTGGCAATGCTGTGACAGACATGATGTTTTTTTTTTTTCCCCCCCAGAGGCCATCTCAGGAGGTGAGAGATAAGGCTGTCCTTCCAGCAAAGCCCCTGCCTCTCCACCTGCCTTCATTCTGCCACAGCCAGGAAAGATCCAACTCCTGCTAGCAACCATTAACAGTCCCATTATACCAGCCTTTGCTCTGACAGATTTTATTAGCACTGTCCACTGGCAGCAGCTTCTGCTCTCTACATTAATGATTATTTGGAACAGAATTCCTGTGAAACAATGCACTGTGTTTGCATTAGGAGAAAATGAGTTCACAGTGATTAATGCTTTCACAACAGATAACTCAGGGATGCATGACTGGTCACCTCTTCAAGGGACCTGCCCTTTGCAAGTGACATTCAATTGAATTTCCAAGTGAATTCTCCCTGATGACTCTGGGAAGCTTACTTCAGTGATGTCATTAGTGATGGGCCATATACTGTGGCTTAATACCTACTAAAAGGTCCTTAAAAGAACCACAGTTTTTGGCTGGGCTGGAGGTAGAAATGAGGGAGTAGAAATGAGGGGAAGAGGGAGACCACATTCTGTGAGCTTTCTAAATATTTAGCTACTGTGAAGAGCCAAGCATGACGCACTAAACCTTGTGGTATTTCAAATGTACTGGTATGTCACCTCATGTTGATATAAATTACATAACCTTTGTCAGGCAGCATATTTTTTTTAAAGAGGAAGAAACAATTCAGTAAGAGAAAAATCAAATATGCTTTCTACTTCCAAAAGAATCTAATAATTAGGCTGGGATTGACACAAATTAGAATGCTGCCAAAAATTGCTGAAAACAGTGACTCATTCTGTATTTCAATTAACAGTTTCTCAGTTTCCCTTATAAACAGTGAAGCTGACAAAAATTAATTATCTCAGAGGGGGTAAAATATTTCTTTCCAAAGTAAACAAAACACCATGGGCTGAAACAATAGTGTGTGTAAACAGAGAGGATGGAGGAAGCTATCTTTCCTTGTCAAGTAAGACATCATTTTGGTAGATTTTTCTTTAAATATCTCATTTTAAAAGCATCGGTTCAAAGGACAGTGTTGTTCTTTTCCCATCCTTTTTTACTAAAGTATGTCTTTTCTCCCATCCTTGGTGTAATGCCTGCTTCCATTTGGATATATTAGAGACAGAACTATAAGCATGAAATATTGATTTAAGCATTAGTATAATAATTGCCATTTAGAGTCCCTGGTTGCAAAATAGCTTTGTAGATAAGTACTAAAATTTACCAGCCCATAGAAAATTCTTACAAGGTTACAGGAGTGGCAACATGGAAAATAATGAGCACTTACTTTGACTCAATTCATACCAGTAGGTAAGTAGCTGCTATAAACAGCTTCCCGGTATATGAAGCTAAACTTACAATAGGATGCATTTGCCTAGTTTTGTGCAAGAGGCCAGGCTTAATCACTGAGATAACCCATGGAGCCGACAGCTCATCATTGTCATGCAGGCTCCAGTATTGAATCAATAGGCTAGGATGGTCACACTCTTATCTCTAAGATTCTTGGGGGAACAAAAGCACTTAATTTTCTCCAGTGGGAGAAATTCAGGGAGCCTCTACACTTTAAAAATCAGGTAACATTTAAAATATGATCTCTGTCTCTTTCCTCTATTTCATTTCTTTACTGAACTAGCTGTTGGGTTGAGTTGACTAAGATAAACAAAACAGTTTGTACCTTCTTGGACTGGTCATTGAGAGACTTTCTGATTCATTGCTGTTTCTAATGAACTTACATGTTGCTCACTTCATATTTGCATCTGTCTTCTTCCTTCCCCTGTTCAGGCAACACTTGGATCTGAGAATTAATTTCTCCCATTGCCTCTTCCCAAATTAATGTCCTTTCCCCAAGTCTCCAGGATAATGTCTTAGGTTTATGGTGCTCATGGGTAGAAAGTTTTAAATCAAGTTTTATTGCACCAACAAGATCTGACTTCTGGGTATATTAAGGAGGGTATTTTTGCTTAGTGTATATTAAATATGTCACTTTTTAATTTATTTTAAAAATGAAAGCCTTCACAATCTCCTCAGGGCCAAACACATGGTCAAAACATCAATTAAAACTTAAACGTAAATACAACAGACATGAAAACAAAGGCAAAACAAACCTTAATAGAATGCTATTTTACCAGGCTTGTCATTATACTGTGGATCATGTTCCTTAAGCCTGAAAACTACATGCAGTAATAGTTGTTTTGTAAATCCTTGTAACACAATCTCTGCTTTTCATAATACTGTCCTTTTGCCAGCTAAAACTTTTACCTCACTCCTTAGCACCTTATCTTACTGTAGTTTCTGCCTCCAACCATCTACTAGTATATTATCCATAGTTCCTATGTTATTAAAGGTGCAATTTTGCTTTCAATCTGAAATATGGCAACTCTGAATGTAAATATAAGCTAAAATGCTTATATCTCTAGGGGGGATCTCTCTCTCTCTCTCTCTCTCTCTCTCTCTCTCTCTCTCTTTCATCTACACTACCTGCAGGGGGTCTTTTTTTTTAACTTAAATGCTAGAGTTTAGAAGATAATTGGATTTGTAAAAATTCCCTTTTCCACTTTCTAGGAACTCAAGTGCATAGGCTGGGCACCATTATAATTAAAGAGTCAATGTTCAAATGCCTGGGAGGAGATATTGGGAAGATAAACCAACTACAGAAAAGCCACAGGCTTCTCTTTGATCTCCATAGTCTATGTACATAGCTGACACAGCCCAGCATGCTAAATATTCAAAAACAGAAGTTAAAAACCAATAGTTTCATTTACTGCAGAGGAGTAGTAATGATTGCAGTTT